TGTCCAGAGGAGGCGGCTAAGAAGATCAATGGTCTGGGACACCTCTCCTGTGAAGACAGGCTGAGAGAGTTGGTGCTGTTCAGCCTGCAAAAGAGATGGCTTTGGGGAGACCTTATAGCCCTTTCCAGCACCTACGAGAGAGGAGGCCTACAAGAAATCCGGAGAAGGACTTTTAGTAAGGGCCTGTAGTGATTAGACAGAGGGAATGGATTTAAGATGAAAGTAAGTAGATTTAGATTAGATATTAGTAAGAAATTATTTACTGCGAGGATGGTGAGGCAATGGCACAGATTGCCCCATTCTTGGAAGTGTTCAAGACCAGGTTGGATGGGCCTCTGAGCAACCAGGCCTAGTGGGAGGTGTCCCCACCCATGCGGAGAGGAGTGGAAGTGTAGATGATCTTTAAAGTCCCTTCACACACAAACCATTCTGTGATTCTGGTTTGATTCTGGTTTGAAATGACAGCATGAGGCTCTGATGATGAAAATAGTTAGTGTTGAAGGATCCAATTTATGATGATAGGAGTTGTGCTTTTTTCTTAGAACTGACTTCTGTTTTTTTTCACAAGTTGTTTCTGTTTCTGTGTCTCAGTGACTAGGAAGAAAACCAAGCAAGAATATAGTGTGAGAAGAGCAGAATCCTTCTTCATCCCACCAGCTTCTGATACGGAGACCATGGTCACTTGATGTAGCTTTCTACTATGTTGGGGATATACAGAAGCTGACTCCACATGTAAATTTACCCTGTTGCTTTTGGATACTTTTTATGTTCCTTCTTCTAATTCTTAAGAGGCTTGTTCCATAATCTTCTTCTTAAAGCTAAAAAAATTTAATATTCAAGCAAATGGGACTTATTCCAAAATTGTCCTTTGCAATACATTCTTCTCCTCTGGAGTTTGTATTTTTTTCTATTGTTGTTAGTCTGGTATTTTGTAGAGAACACAAATGGCTCTGCTAAACCAGTCAGTTTGCTCCAAAATTAATGGGATATCTATTTGTAGTAGACTTTCTATTCACCTGCTTGGCCTGAACACTCCTCTTCCATCAATTGCAGTGCAACATTCCCTGTGCCTCCAAAGAACTTGTAAAATGGCCCTAATATTTACCTAGATCTACTGGAATGTTTAATTTGATATGCCTTTTGCAGGTACATCAGTGGCAAAGCCTCTGGCCCTTCTCTCCATATGTATTTCAAACTAATTTTATAGCAGGAACTCTTGGACTTAGTACCTTGTTGTTGAGTTTCTTTCTCTTGCAGAATGACATTCAAACTGTAGTCTCAAATTCTTAAGGTCATCCATTGCTTCATCTGTGTTTATCTTGATCCTTATTATTGATAATGCTTCTCAGATTTGCTTCTGTGACAATATTCATTAGCACAGTCCTACTTTTTGTAGCAAAGATTATTAATGAAAATACTCATTAAGTTGGCAAGATCATTCCTCCACTGGTACTTTTTGTTCAGTAATGCCTGCTTTGCAGCACTGTTGTTGCACAACCTTCTTTACTTATTTTTGTGTCTGCTTTCATTCCCTCCATTCATATTGATTAGGAATTTTTCATGTGGCATTTTTCAGGGATTGCTTCAGCTTAAGTAGGTTCAGCTTATTTTACACTGTCCCCCAGATCAGTTAGTTACTTTATCAAAAATACTCAGTATGAAAATATAGCATGCTGAACTTAAAAACTGTAGAAAGAATGGATATGTGCCACAGAAAGTGAAATAATATAAGTACAATACAAATACCTTTTTTGTGACACTAAATTATTAGATTCTATGTTCCTTTAAAATTGTTTTGATGCCCAGTGTTATTTTCACTAGTTTGTTACACCTCCAATAAAAGTGGAAATCTTTATTTTTGCACTGTTAAGAGAAAACTACCTGATTTCACTAAGAACAGCTGTCAGAACACTCAGACAGTAGGGGAAGTGCTTTCTCACTACCAATAAGCTCTGAGAAGTATTTTAAAGCAAAGCTTTAATTAAATTTGTCATTTTTGAGTTTCCAGCCCAAAAGAGTTACAGTAAAATTTCAAGCAAAGAAATTATTTTTGATTTTGCAGCATGAAGACAATGCAGTTATACGCTGAGATTTTTATTTTTTAGAAAAGCAAGTGGGAGAAAATTTAGGTCTAAAAAGCATACTACGTGTAAGTAAATGAACTAGGAATATGCTAATATTGGAGGTACCTTATTACTCAGAAGCCTAAATTAACTTTATATTTTATCAGAGAAAAATAAAGAAATGTTATTTTTGTTAAGTTGAAACATTTGGTCTATAAATTACAATTAGCTTAGTAAGCTGCCTGAAAATAAAATTGTAGTAATAGGAGCACAGAGCTAAGTGTACAGTTACTCTCAGTATAAATTAACATTTTTTTCATGCAAGCAACAGATGCACTGTGTTAAACAAGCCTGATCTAGAAAATGTGTGGAGAATAGAAACACATCCCCCAGTGTGCTCTGCTGAGCCTGTGACTTCATGTAATAATTTTTAAGTAACTGTCCCTACCTAATGTGTGGTGAATTGGTCCTATATCTATTGTGAAAGCAGGAGTTGTTAGCAGGTGAGGTCCATTCAATGAGAAGAGAGGTAATGCCACTAATATTGGCTTTAAAGGAGCACAGTGTCAAACTCTGGAAACAGGTTCATTTGAGCAGATAATGGGCACCCAGATGATGATCTGTAAACAGGTAATCCTGCTTGTCCTGAAAAACTATCAGGTACAAAGGCATGATGGATGGGAGGGCACATCAAAACAGTAAACTTGTAATGGAGTTTAAAAGATGCAAATGTTCCAGTGATTAGATGATGGTCTTGTTGATCTGAAAGGGTATTTAAAGTCCAAACCATGTGGAGCACTATAAAGGTTCAGTTTGTGCATTTCAACAGGTGTTGGGCTAGGTTCCACATAGGACCTGAAGATGACACAAGTAGATGCATAATGTCCTAAAGGTGGTCCAGCAACTGGTGCAGGAGAGAGGAACAACTTTGTCTTCATCACATTGTAGGCACTAGGCATAAGCTCTGGTTTTCATTCTTTGTCATGAAAGATTTGTATTGATCATACTTCTGTGGCAAATCTTGTCACAAATCAAAAGTGGTTGCTGTGCAGAGAAGGTCTGAGCTCCTTTTTCTTTCAAATATGGTTTGCGGCTTATCTGTGCTGGACAAAATTTTGCTTTTTCTTTTCCATTCCAAATTGTAATTCTGCTGAGCAGAATAAAATTGGTAGAGTTTTGCTTTTCAATATTTTGGGTAATTTATATTCTTTTTGCAAGTGCACAGTTCTACACATAAATAATACCCAACTCTCTGTCCAGAGACAGAGACAGGTTGTCCTCAACCTGTAGGGCTTTAAACCTTCTTTATACACACCGTTTTAAACCTACTCAGTAGGGGAGTATGTCAGCTTTCAACTGCTGCTGAAAGTCAGTGTGTCTGGCCAGCATGAACCTATTGTAAAGATAGTGTGTACAATCCTTGGATGTGTGAGAACTTGGGTGTGAGATGTCTGCCACATGGCAGGAAAGAGCATTCTGGCATACCATCTTTAATACATGTACAGCATGTGATATATAGGATTGGAGTACCTATATATAGCACTTACGCCTGCTGAGATTTCCCTTTTTTCTTTCACTTACTCTTCCCTTAGGCATCCCCAGGTTGCTATGTGCAATATGCTTCTCTTACATTATCTGTTACTAGCAGCTTCTTGTTAAGTTGTGAAGCTGTTGCTTCAATGTACATGTTCAATGTACATATTCCTTGTGCACTCTCAGAGAAATCATAAAAGCAGTCTCCAAGGATGTAGGTTTAAGGGAAAAGAAATGAAGAGACCTGGCAGTTTCTTTAAGAAAATGATATGATGACAATGCAAATTATCCCAACAGAGAGTAAGGAAAACAAGGACAGTAAGGGGCCAACTTGGCTAACTCATGAGCTGACTTCAAACACAGGGAAGAGAAGTGTGAATTTCTAGTGACAAAATTACAAAGACCAAAGCACAGGCTGTGAAGTAACTTGCAAGGGAAACTAAAAATACGCAATATAATTCTATGCCTTCTTGTAGGAAGAGAGAGACATTTTTATTTGTTTCTCAGCTGTTTGAAAGGTATCAACAAGTGATGCCAAGAACAGCTCAATGTTCGGTGTTTGGGTTTTGTCCTAGTCTTCACTAAAAATACCAATAGTCAGAGGCAGTGAGTTCAAACAATACTCAGTGATAAAGCATGGATTTTTGGCTTAGAATAGGGAAAAATAGATTAAATATTATCTTAAATTGATGTTTTAAACCAGCATGGCATTATGAATTTAATTCTCTCAGGCACATGGTATGACTCTTGGGGATGGTCCTCTGCAGGGCCAAGACTTGGACTTGATGATCCTTGTGGGTCCCTTCCAACTCAGCATATTCTATGATTCTGTAATTAATTTTCCCATTTTGGAAAGGAGAGAACCTGGTGCTTAGATCACAGTTTTGACTTTCAAAATCAGGTGTCTCATTTCCTACATAGTCTTTATTCATGTAGGGACACATGCTTATGCTGTCCATTCCTTCAGCATCCTATTCCCTTCTTCCTTTGCTGTAGTCTGGCAAGTACTGGACTTTAGGCATCTTCAGAGCACATCTACATAATCAGGTGAAATAGCACTTGAAAATCCTGTGTCCGGGTCTGCAGGTTAATGCCTTGACCCTGAGCTCTTAGAAGCTCATTGTATATAAACTAGTAGAAGCTTTTAGATACCTTTATAAGTCCTGCTACTAGCCATAGCATAGGTGTCCTATTTATGACCATTTTGAGAACAAGAGGTGCCTAAATTATAGACTTAGTGGTTACATCTGTGAGGTGACACCTTGGAGGATGTGAAACGAAGGTAAAGCCTTGTTACACTGCTACCTTTTGTGGATACTTTGCAATCTATGGGCAACATATATGAACTAACTGCCCCTCCCCATTTTAAAGACTGATACTCATATTGAATTTTTAGACAAGATATATATGTTAAAAGTAATGAGTCTTTTTATTGCTTGAGAATTTTCAGCTGCAGGAACATCCTGAGCCACTTCATCCACTCTGATGCTTTCCCACAGTTGTATCATATAGCAATAAATGTATCAAGATCCATCTCAAAACAAGATTTTTTTTTCTCCCAGAACTGCAATTGGGACATGCCTCCTAAATTTTTCTTTGCCATTGAGATATTTTCTTTAAATTTCTACAGAAAATTAATTCAAATTTCATTTTCTGCTGAATTTCTAAGAAAACTCTCTGTACATTTCATCTTTGCGTGAGGTTACTCTCCATTCTCCATCTTTTCAGTCCCTGTCTTCTAGTGTATTTTCAAGTCTCAGGGTCTCTTTTAGTTTTGTCAATTTTTACAAGTCCATTCTCTAGCTCTTTGATCACAAGATGAACTCCATATTGCATATAGTATTCACTCAGCATCTGCTTCAATCAGAATTCAGCATTTGGAACGCAGGCCGTAAGTATTGTAAACGATACTCTAGAAGAAGTTTCTCTACTGTATGTCACAGTGCAATTAATAGCTGTAAATCACCACTGGACATACCTTCATTACTCAGTATACTCCAAGATTTTGTTGATGACTTTCATGGTCTTATCATCCTATCAGTTCTTTATGAACTTGAGATTTACTGGAAAACAGAAGTCTCTGCTTCCTCCCTGCCTATCCTCATTAGTATTGAAGAAGTCTCTTCCAGCCACAAGTTCAAGACGCTCATTCATATTCTTCCCAGGTGAGCTCAGTATTTTGGCCTTTTTAATTTTCTTGCAAATGAGTTTGGCAGTTCCATGAGAAGCACTGCCAGAAACTTGCTAAGCTGCTTCTTGTTCAAACCTACAGTTCGCTTGCACAGAGCTGACTCCTGGCTCTTGAATATTCTGCAGGGACTGGGGACTTAAAAGTTAGCTTGTAATGGAAAATTGAAGTCAAGTCAATATCCTCTCAGGTCTTCATTGTGAAATGCACTTTCTGCCTTTATCTAAGTAATTTAACAAGATATTAGTAGTTTAGTCAAGCAGAGGAAACAACTGAACTTAAATAACACTAGCAGTTTCACTCCAAAGACGTGAAGTTCAGGGGAAGAAGATTGAATCTGCCTCCTTAAGAATTAGTCAGTGCTAGAAAGCAAGAAAAAGGAGGAGAGAGTTTAAACAGTAGTGGACCCTTAAACAGACCTTAAGCTGTAGCGGAAGTATGAAATCCAGCATACTTCCTTTATTTTCTTTTACAAAATACGATTGCAGATGTGAGATGTGAAACAACATAACAAAGACCTTCACTATGTAGGCTAATAAGCATCTCAAACTTCTTTGCTGAATGCTGGAAAGAAATACCTGATGGATTTCATCTTGGCATAAATAAGGGAATAAATATATATATTTATTATCTTTTTTTATATACAATTCTAGGAAGCCTTTGAACCTTCTTGACCATAATTTTTTTTGTGTTTTGTTCATCAATTCTTTTGAATTAAAGTTTTTTGAATTAAATTTTTTTGTTTGTTTGATTTCTCTAACATCTGGACTGAGTGACAGTTTCTGCATAGGAATCTAAAAATTAGGTTATTGGAACCTTCTTGAATCACTCTCCGGCCTAATATGATTCTCCTAGAAAAGTGAAGGTTATGAGAAACACAGCTGCACAGACTAGTTTAGGGGCTGGTAGTGCAGAAGTCACTCAGCATATGTGCTTTCCAGGGCCACTATTAGCTAAAAAATTTTCTTGGCATGAGCTGTGACAGTGGGAACAATGCCAGAGTACTGAGGGCTGGGGAAGGGTTTGTATCGGTTTGTACTCAGCACTCTCGTTCTCTCTGTGGTGGTGTCACTTAGTCCTCATGGACCTGCTAGATCTTTAGCTCAGGGGTGGAAGCTCACACTATGAACCGGAGGTAACTCCTGCTTCTGATGATATACTAAAGTTAATTTTGCAACTGGTAGTAAAGTGCTGAGTTAGGTCCCCATTCAGCCTGTCTCACCTCTCTGCTGAGATTTGTGTTAGTGACAAGCAGCTTTGTTTGGGAAGGGAATTAAAAGAAACTGTAGATTTGAAGCGATCCTTAATTATTGAGAGAGGTTTTATTCTCCTCTGATTTCCCATGAACTCATATTCTACCCATCTGTGCAATGCAATCTTTTGTCTTCTAGCCAGTGCCACTGAACAGTAGATAAGTGTTTTGCATTACTGCCTTAAAATATGTCAGTCAGATGAAGCCAATCTAGTTCTCTTGTACTTACCTATAAGACATATAAGTAATTTTTGTCACACGCTTATGTGTAACACTTTTAAACTATTAGCACATTGAGATACATATTTATTTATGTTAACCTGGTGATTTTGGTAGTTTATATAACTAAAAAAATATAACTCTTTGACAATATATTCTTCTTTGGCCCAAGGCAAATGATAGAAAATTAAGATGGAGAAGAACTGAAATTCACCTGGGCTCTGGAGATCTTCCTTGGTCTGTGCAAAGGGCTTTGTAGTCTTTTCTGAAAGTAAAATTTAGATTAAAAGATGTTATATTTGCTATTTTAACATGTCTAGTAGTTTGAAACTTGGATAAAAGCCTGTTGTATTAAATCTGGATAAAACCACATTGTAATTTACTCTTTGCCTAAACACTTGATTTGCATAGTGTCATTCAGATCAGAATCTGGGCAACTGTACATCAAACAAATGAGTATATAATTTACAGATATTTTTTATTTTCAGCAGTTTGACCAGAAGGAGCATTAGTTTATCTGATCAGCTTCTGAATGCTTCCATGTTTGTTTTACATTCCTAAGATTCCTAAAGTCCTGAAACTTCATATCTCTAAATTGTGTTTTCAGTTCATCATGAAAAGGCAGAGCACCAACTAGTCCCTTTTTTTGCAATGATTAAGCATTTGTTCAAGTGTCTGACAGTTAAAAAGTGTGTCTATTGGCTATGTTAATTTGTAAAGTTTAGCTTCCTGATCATTGTTTTTATGTTTGTTTGTTTTTTTCTGCTAAGAGTTGCTTAATGTCCAGAATTCTCCTATAATTTTCATTATCTTTGTATCCATAGGTAAATCCCTCTCCAAGATATTGTGTCTTACTTCTTTGCTTACAAAATCACAGAACACGGTAAAATTTTTTTACCTGTTCTTTTTGCCATCCACACATTTTATCAACACTTATTTGAGATTCACTTCTGCATACTGATAAAAGATTTTAATAATTCCCTAGCTCTGATCCTTGCAACATCTCTGCAGATATGTAATCTGTAGATGGCAATCTTCCTGATTTTGGGAACTGTCAGTCTGCTGTTGCTACCTTTAATTTGTGGTACATTTATATTACTAATGTGAAATTCTTAATAATAAAATAATAATTGTAAAAAATCAAACAGTTATAAAGCTCTGAGAAAATTATATGCATTTAGTTATCATTATCAAATAACTAGTAATAGCATCAAGGAATTAATTTCTATAACTGTCATATTGAAACGATCCTTTTCATGTAATTGTCTCTGGACATGGAGTTCAGACAAAGTTCTTCCTTGTCTGAACACAAAAAAATTATAGTTTCAAACAATGTGCTTAACAGTGCATCTGTACACATAGTATGCAATTCTTTCACTCTCGTATACACAAAACTGGTACATAATTTCTCATCTGCCCCAATAACTAAATAGATCTTTGGTGTATTTTGCATACACGCTATCTGACCTTGAAGCTCTCTACCTAAATAAGAGGACTTCTATAGGAGCTATAATAATCCTTTGGAGCACAGTGCAACCATTCTAGTTTTCTAAGACCAATTTTGACATTGACTTAATATGTTTTGCTAGGAAAATCACATTTTCTCTGGTCAAGAATACGATAGCTATTACATCTACATATCTATCTAATATATAATAATGGAGAGTCATTCAACATTGGAAAGTAGCTTAGGAGCCTCAGAAGAAAGACACAAAAATTTTATGTATTTTTGCAAAATATTATCTAAGACAAACTCCTGCAAGAAATTCCATCCGTCATCAGTTTCTAAACTAGAGCCTAAAACATAACCATTGAAATACATCAGTGGCAGAGTGGATATTTAAAAACAAGACTCGTCACATATACCTACAAAAATCCTGAAAGAGATCTATTCACAGAAGTCTGTGTCTTTAGAGACATGAGAAATTGAATGTGTTGTACTCAGTAGGTGTTAATTTTATTGCTTTTAGATGCTGTGGTGATTGATAGCATAAAAACAAAGTAGCTAAATTGATACACATTTCTTATTGCAGCTTTACTGTTTTTTTGAGTTTGTTGAATGTCTTATTTCAAAATGTTTCATAAAGGTAAGAGAAGATATTATAGATAAGTTAAAATATGAAGAAAACTTCTTCTAAATTAGTTGTTTGTTTTTTTTTTTTTTTCCCTTTTCTCATTTTTCTCTCTAGAGTGTGCTCTTTGTTACATGATTTTTGGGAAAATAGCTGTAGTTTAGACAGATCTTTTGTTCAACACAAAAAAAAGGCATTTTGATTCTGCGTTCAAAATCTTTCAAGTTTCTTTTATATGAGTAAAAATGGATTGAAAAATATCTGAGCTGAATTGGAAAGCAAAATGTGAATTTCTTTTGCTATTCCTACACAAAATATTAATGATATTGAAGAAAACTCAAACAGTAGCTGATACTGATGAGATAGACCTGCCAAACCTTCCTTCTACATTTCTATTTCATTGTTCTACATTACTACATGTAAATGTCATCTGATAGACAATGGGAAGTTAGAAAGTGCAAAGGGATATGGATGGTGTTAAGAAGGGACAAAAGAAATAGGGTTGATAGCAGTCAGTGAAAAAGTTTAAAATTTCTGTTTAGTGGGTTGGCCTTGGCTGGACGTCAGTTGCCCACCAAGTCTCTCTATCACTCAGCAGGAAAAAAAAACAGGGATCAAGATAAGGCAGTTAAAAAAGCAAAAACAAAGGTTGCACATATGAAAGGAAAGGCAAACAAAAGATTTTATTCTCTACTTCCCATCAGCAGGCAATGCCTGGTCACTTCCCAGGAAGCAGTTTCAGTGTGCATAGTAGTTGCTCAGGAAGCCGGGCACCATAACTACAAATGCCCTGCTGATATGGTTTGAAGCTGGCTCCCTGCCAAGTCTCCAAACCTCACCACAAAAACTCCCCCCGCCTCCTGAACCAAGGGAAAAGAAAAAAAACCAAGAGAACCAAAACGAGAGATAGCTAAAGCAATATATAAAAATATATTTACACTTATATTACAGTTATATACAATTGAAATATATATACGATTTCAGAAGGAAAAAGGAAAGGGAAGGGGGAGGGGGAAGGAAAAAAAGGAACAAAACCAAAATAAAATATACACCATCAATAGCCCAAGATCTAGTAACTAAAAGAATTAGCAAAAGAATGTCTTACTACTCTCCTTGGGACAACAGAAAGTTGTTCTGGAAAGACCGCTGGCAACCTCCATCTCCCAAGGTCAGCAAGGCCTTACCAGGCCTCACTCCCCAACACGACAGACTCAACAGCAGGGAAACCTGCACCTCCAAAGCCGCCAGAAGGAAAGAAGGGCGAAGGCCTTTCCTCCCTTCTTCTTATACCCTGGCTTAGGTAAAAATCGTAGGGAATACCGGATAAGTCTGGGCATTTCCTTGGTTACAAACTGGTCACCGAGGAAGGCCTAGACTAAGCTACCACACCTGCCTACACTCTCCCTCCCCCACACCTACCTCCTCCTTTCTGTTTACTTTATTGCTGAGCAGACAGCATATTGTATGGAATTTCCCCTTTGGTCAGCTGGGGTCAGCTGTCCCCTCTCAGGACTTTGCCCACCCTCAGACTACTGGTGAGAGAGAGTATTGGAGACATCAGTGATGCTGTACTGGAGCCTGTTCATCCTGACCCTATGATTTGCAGGATTTCCGATGAAGTTGAACAATACAGTAGTGATACGGCACAAATGAGGTGCGTTTTGTAGGGAGAGATATTGTCTTTTACTGCAGCTGCTGAAAATGTCAGTGATACAGTTTCTGACAGTGAAGGGTCCAAACTGTTTAAACCAACAGATTTGTTGAGGTTTTTGCCCATTTTCCAGTCACTCCTTTATCTGATTTTTATTGAGATTTGTTTTAGTGAAACATGTCTATCAAATACCTGTAATGACTGACCTTTACCCCACTCAAGTGATTATTCAATGACTTTCTAAGTGATTGGTAACACTATCCAGGATGGTCTATGAGATCTTCCTGTGAAGTAAGAACTTGAACGTATTTTGTATGAAAGAATCATAGAATAAAATTTAAAAATTATCTGTCGAGCATGAACCAGAAGATACCTGCAGCTTTGTTCCTTATCTACTAACTCTGGTAGTCAAGTGTGTCATCAAGTTTGTGGGCTTTTCGTGGGAAGTAGTACCTATTTTCTATTTGCCATGAATCTTGGAGACTTTTTCAGAATACTGGCGAGTAGGTGCAGCTACATTCCTCAATATGTTTCTTAATCTTACAATAATTTGCAATAAAGTATGAATATCATTGCAAGTATCAGTTACAGATTACCATTTCTTCCAGTCAAATCAAATTAGTCAAGAATAGCTTCCCATCTTATTGATACTACGTTCTTCCTCCTCCTTTAGCTTTACTACAGATTGATAGAGATCCACACGCCCCCATCCCATTTAAAATTTTGTTATCCTTGTTACCGTATCATTTAGCTCTCTAACATGTAAAAGTATTAAAGTTGAGCCTGGATACTATGACAGTGCGGTTCACTTCATAAGTGGTCTCAGATCAAGCAGACAAATTTGTGCTCTTTCGGGTGTATTTCAAAGAAGATTTTAGTCTCAGGAATTTTAAAATCCCCCAAATTTTTAGTATTTGCTTTAGATGAAATCCAATGGAACAAAAAAAAACTTATGCTCAGGAGAAAAATTTTTAGAATGGACTTCATTTTTTTCTGCTTTAAGTACTTTAAGACTTTTCTGAAAAGGTTCCTGAGATTTTTGGCAAGCTGGAAATGTTATTCATGAAACAAGTGGTAAAACACATTTTCATCGAGGTACCACTGTCCTTATAAAATGACCCTTTTATTCCTCTCAGTGATGGCATATCGTTTAGAGAATGAGTAAGAAATGAAAAGAGGGAAAAATATCTCTTGAAGCACTTTCTTCTCAGCAAAGGTTAAGTAGGACTTATGCTTTTTGGTTGTTGTTTTTTTGTGGTTTTTTTTTTTCCCCTCTCCTAAGAGCAAGGCAGTGAGAGTCATATAGGAGAGAGATTTCTGAATAGTTGTGAGAAGGATTCCATTTTAAATAAGGGATAAGATGACAAGAATAATTTTTGCCACTTCTGGCTTTGCTATTTCCCTCAGAAATTAATTTTGACTTTAAAGTTGAATGTAGAGGACAGCAAGCAGCTTCATTGCCTTGGGGTGAGAGAAAAAGCCAGACCATTCATTTGTGATCTGCACCAGACTCTCCTTAAGTAATCTTCCACTACTGACACATGTTCTTCCTTTTTTTCTACAAGTATTCACATTTGCATTCTGGCTGACAGGCTGAAATATAATCAAAATTTGAGTCTGTAATCAGCTCTATTCAGCCAGATCCTGCTACCAGTACATTGCTTGTTTCCTTTTACCTTCTTTGTATGTGCTTTGTTTCTTAATATCCTTTACAATATGCATGCCAAGTAGCATTCAGGCTTGATGTACATGTACAAAGCATTTGTGCACAGAGGAGCAATCACAGCAAGTTTATACACAACCCATCATTAATCTGTTCAACTGTGCGTTCCCATGTTAGTGTGGAGACACATTGACTTTCCAGAATCACATAGGGCAAAATTCACTGCTGTTACAAGGGCTTAGCACAAGTTTTCCCCTCTGTGATATGTGACTAATATTAACCATTTAACATCAGCAGGCTGCAGCTCTGAAGCTCAAGTCATTAGCATTTGTAAAATACATCAAAAACCTGAAGTGAAATACATTATCTGCAGAAAAAAAGATACAAATATAAAAAAATAATGCTACCAAGTTAATTATCCTTTTTCATTAGCAATGGCATTTCTCCTGTTCCTGTATGTCTGCCATCTTCACATTCTGTGAATGTTTTCTGATGTACAACATCTCACATCCATTTTCTTGTCTAATTTTCTGGAGTCAAGTCCTCAGATAAAACTAAACGGAAGCGAGAGGTGGCTATATTTTTTAGGTCTCAGCAGCTTTTAGGAGAAGTTCTTTGGTAACTTCTCAAAAAATCCCTAAAAAAATCCTCCTCTATCATATTTTTCTTCAAGTCTTGAGTTAAACTGAGAAACCTTTATCCTGACTAAAATCTTCAAAGTTGTTTTTTCTACTGAAAACAGTGGAACTCCCTGTGAAACAATGCTACTTATTATTCCTTATACGTTAAGACCGCATAATCTACTTTCTTACTTTGCTTTGCTGTTTTAAATGCTTGTATACATTTCAACTAATGTCAAGTTGCTAGTGAGCCTTCAGCCATATAAATTGCCTAAAATGTCCTAAACTTGTCCATAAGTTACTTCTTTTCTTCGACAAAAAGATATGATAATCTTGTGAAACTTGAGGAACTAGTTTTTCTAAGGAATACATTACAGAGAGTAATCTATGATTTCATCAAGATCCCGAACACAAGGAAAAACTTTACTGTGCGTGCGACCACACACTGGAACAGACTACCCAGAGAGGTTGTGGAATCTCCCTCACTGGAAATATTCAAGAACTGTCTGAGCGCAATGTTTTGTAATGTGTTCAAGGACGACCTTGTTTGAGCAGGGAGGTTAGACCAGATGACCTACTGTGGTCCCTTCCAACCTTAGCCATTCTGTGATCCCATGATTCTGTGATTCTGTGATCACACTTTCTTGCTAGTGCACAGTACTCTTGCTCTAAGATTTACAATTCAGTTTTCATAAACTTTAATTAATTATTTTAAATATTAGTTATTATATATTCCAGAGTGTTTAAATACAGTTTAATTTTCATAATTTTTTGACCGTACTAACAAAAATAATTTTAATCTGTAGCTCAGCCACAGAGGAATCAGTATGTAGCAGATTTTTGCTGAAGTCTATTTAAACAACAAAAATATTCTTGCCACAGATGTGAGAGAAGAACTAACCATAATAAATTCCATGAGCTTTAAGAGACTGACAAAATGAGTATTTAAGGATGGAATTTCAGACTGTTTCCTAATATAAGACTTCTGAAACTGCATACATATATTATTATGCTTCTTACGATACAGACAATTCTCATGCAGCCTTTTGTTAAATCTTAGTCTTTCTCTAATGCTTATCTTTCACTAAAAAATGAATAAGAGAGATAAAATGGCAAAATCAGGTTAAAATAACTTTGGTTGCTCAAATCCCAATAAGTAGTAAGGCATTTTGGAACAGATATATTGCTAAACACAAATGTGTCTGTATTTTTTAAGCTTTATCATGACATATTTCTTGAAAGAAATCCTATTTATTTGTTAGAATTTGCCACCATTTCTCTGTTGCAATTTATCCTTTAATAAAATAAATTAGGTCAGAATGTTCAAAACAGAGAACCTGATTGTTCCTAATGTAGGGGTTGAGTCACGAGCTGACATAAAAATTTTCAGCACTTGGAGAGAGTAATTCAGTCATTGAAAAGCTCTGATTTCTCCATCTTCATCATTCATTAGGAACTTTGAAATTGCACATCTGCAATTAGTTACCAGTTGCTTCACCTAACCCCTGCCACGTAGAATTTAAGTCTGGGAACCTCAACAATGATTCTAAATTAGTTTTCTAATTTCTTTTTTGTATTTCAAGTGAAAAGATATATGAACCTGCTTGAATGGGTCAGGTCTCTCTTGGAAATGTCCATTTCTGTCCGTTCATTTGTAGCAAGGAGATGCTTTGTACAAGGAGCTTATTTAGGTTTCCAGGATATTTTCCCTTGCATATCACAGTTTGTCGTGGTTTAGGAATGGTATTCTCCAATTCAGTACTCCCACTAGAAAGGCTATGTGCCATTCCCCTCCCCCCTCCAATGGGAGACACAAAAGGCAAAGATCACATGTTGAGATAAGAACAATTTACTGGAAACAGCAATAAAATAAGAAAATTAACAGTAACAGTAACAATACTAATAAAGAATGGTATAAGACAAAGAAACTATTTACAGGAGAAACCCCCCGACAATAAGCAAATACTGGACCATTCCTCCCACCATGTTTTCTTCACTGGAAGGAACCCCTTCTCCCTGGAAGTGAGACAGAGTCCCTTTCCCCTGCCCTGGCAATGACATGAGGTGATATCGAATAACATTAGGATCCTGGCCATGCCCTCTCCTGGCTATTGCAAAAAAATTAGCCCTGTCCTGGCCAAAATCAGTACACAACCTTATCTGGGTTGCAAGATCTGGAATAGCTCACAGTTTAAGCAGTGAACTCCCATAAACAAGTGTAATTTCAGAGGCACAATTTGGTTTTTAATCTTGACGATTTTTTAAAACCAAATTGTATCCTGAAGAAAAAGTTCATGAAAAATACCATTTCTCACATTTATGAAATATTTGATTTAATGTTCCCTTTTGCCATGTAAGAGGTGTTTAATGCTTTCTTTGCCTTGGTCTTCAACACGAATGATGGACCAAGGGAATCTCAGTACCCTGAGCTGGAGGACCATGACTGCAAGAATGATCAACTCCCAGTCAACCCTGAAATTGTGCAGGATCTACTGCTCCAGATGGATCCCTACAAATCTATGAGGCCTGAGGGGATTCATCCAAGAATCCTGAAAGAGTGGCTGATGTCATCTCAAAACCTCTCTTGATGATTTTTGAGCGGTCTTGGGAATCTGGAGAGGTCCCAGTTGACTGG